CATAAAAATCTTCCTTCTACTGTTGAGGAAACTGGCTTCCAGGGAGGTTAAGTGGATCCTTTTTATATATTTATTGGCATCACAGAATGTGCTAAAATCCAGGTGCCCTACATCTCATGTACTAGATGGCATGTAAATATATAAAATGCCATAGGTATATATATTTGCTGAAAGATGGAAGGATATTCAGGGAAATTAAGGAGAACTCCTTTAGAATTTGAAGTTTTCCTAGGATGCTCAAGTATTATTCTCCTTTCAACCTCATTCACTTAACTATTTGTCTAGTGTTTACTGTATTACACAGTGGAATGCAATGGAAAGCGAGTCCCTCCCAGGACTCATTAGCCCTTATTTCTTAACATCTGTTTCTCTTGCTGTGATATTCCCAACACACACACACACACACACACACACACACACACACACACACACTCCACTCCTAAACTCTGCCGTCAGCTCCCACCAGCTACAGATCCTTGGTAAGTACTGTAAATACGGACACAACTGAGAAAGGGAGAAGAGCAGTTCCTGCAGGGGGGATTCACATCCTCTAGGCCTGTGGAAGTCTATCTTCTTTGGAGTGCCTTATGAAACCCAGGCAACTGGGAAGAACTTATGAATTTATTCTCCTGATGTCTTTACACAGATTTATTGAAATAATATGGTGCTCTGGAGACCTCTTGCATATCAAAACCAAAAGTCTAATTATATTAGTCAATGTTCCTTAAATTTCAGGTCCCCCATATGGGGACATGATAATATACAGAAAAGCATTAGAAAGATGTGAGGGACCATGTAAATAAAGGTGACAATGTAATCATCAACAAAGCTAATAAAACATGATGGTATAAAAAGTGCCAGGTACTAAAGAAAAATATTTGATTGCAAGTGAATGAAACCTCAGCAGAACAAATCCTAAAGGATGTTCACTTAGCCATGAATGTAGAATAACTAAAGGAAGAAAGGTAACAAAAGTGGTGGCTTGTGTTTAACTTTACCCCTTTTGCAATAAATTAGTTTTCTGAAATGTAAATTAAAATCCCATATCAAGCAGTAAGAATGATCTTTTTGACTACCAAATTGGAAAAATAATTAAGATATTAATTCCGCTGGTAGGCTGGAGAGACATGTGCTTTGGAAAATACCTCAAACACTGCTAGTGGAGATGTAAATTAGTGCAGCATTGTGGGGACAATTAATGACTTTCAAGAGACTTTAAATTGTATATACACATCCATTCCACTTCTAAGAATTTATATTTGGGAAATATAGATGTGAATAAAAAAGTAGCTATGACATGTGCATCATGGTATTATTTAAAATAGTGCTTGAAGTACAGAAGTTAAGAATGTATCTACAGGACGCCTGAATGGCTCAGCAGGTTAAAGGTCTGACTCCTGATTTTAGCTGAGGTCATGATCTTATGGTTTGTGAATTCTAGTCCTGCATCAGCTCTGTGCTGATGGTGTGGAGTCTGCTTGGGATTCTTTCTCCTTCTCTCTCTCTGCTTCTCTCCTGAGCACTCAAGGGCTCTCTCTCAAAATAAACTTAAGGAAAAAAATTGTGGTATCTAGTATCACTGAACTGCTAGATTCAAATTCTGGCTTTGTTACTTCTTACTGAGATACTGGACATACTACTTTTTAATTCCCACACTTGTAAAATAAGGCTGATAATAACAGAAACTGCTTCATGATGTGGCTATGAATATTTAACAAAATACATCTAAGGCACTCAGAACATACTAAAAGTACTTATGATGTTAGATATGTTCATTATAATGAACAATTAGAGACAATCTATATATCTAGTAAGTTTGTTTCATCCCAGCAATATAGTGCTATATATTAAAATGATGCTGTAGGTGAATATTTGACTTAGATGATTATAATATTAAAGGGAAAGAGAAAGCTATAAAATAGCATTTACTATGTGACTGAATCAAAGTGGATGTTTATTAGACACTATCTTGTGTACTTGAACTTGTTTTGAATTCAAATGCATTTATCTCTCTAAAAAATTTAGTTGCATTTTACAAGAGCAAAAATCAAATAGTGTTAATTTCAGTTCCTTACTTCCCGTGGCGGGGGGTGGGGGGGGTGGGGGGTGGAGGTCAATAAGAATTTTTCCTGGGCTAATATACTTTTGGTACTTACTGTATTGCAATCCAAATAACCTCTAATTATTAAAAAAAAACATTCTTTTACTAACAGGTATAGTCCTCAATGTCATAACAAAGTCCCAAGATACTATCCAGTGTCATAATGCTACTAGAGTAATTATATACATAATTTACCAAGAAATACTACAAGCTATCAGTGTTCAAGTTCCTACAATTTTTAAAAACACATATGATTCTAATAATGTTTATTATGATACTCAAAACAAATGTACTTCTAATTTAAAATAATGTGGGATTTTAAGAATGACATTTGCATAATATAAAAGTACTGCTAAATGTTAATGCCACCTTGTACAACTAATAAGAATCACTTAATGTGACTTTAGTTTCAATGTCTGAATTGGTGATTCAATTGATTTACATAGCAAAAAGTTATGCTCTCTTAATCTCTTACTCTCTCATAGGTTATGAATCTCTGAATCCCTAAAAGATAACTATTATGTTACCCAGGTCTTTGCTAATCCAATGATAAAAAAATCTTCCTTCAATCCTCACAAAAGTTGTTTGATCACCCCCAATTTCAAGCAAATAAGCACTGTGCCTACATGCTTACACTATTACTAATACGGAAATACTCCAATTCTTTGCTAATGTTATAAAATTAGGATCTCTGATTTCCACTAGTAGAAATGAAAACACAGTCGTATGTTTGTATTACGTGTAAATTTTTTAGTGCATTCTTATCTATCTCATTTCATTATTAACAGCTTTATGTGCAGGATATAAATCTCATTCACCTTGACATATTTGAACCTCTTTGTTATGGAAGTTTTACTTCAACTTTGGGCATTCATCTTCAGAACTAAAAAGTGTAGTGATATGGTTTGTAAAAACTCTGAACAGTCAGAGGGTGGTAAGCACAGGAAAATGACGAGAGAGAAAGAAAGAAAAAGAAAGAAAGAAAGAAGGAAAGAAGGAAAGGAAGGAAGGAAGGAAGGAAGGAAGGAAGGAAGGAAGGAAGGAAGGAAGGAAGAAAGAAAGAAAGAAAGAAAGAAAGAAAGAAAGAAAGAAAGAAAGAAAGAAACACTCACAATCAAGCACCTCCCAAGCTAAATGATGCCAGTTATATCCAGCTGGGAAATGCTATAAACTGCTAACAGTGCAGAGCTTGGCTAGACTAGAAGAGCTTGTCTCAACATCTGGTAGAGGTAAAGCTGACCTCACCACTTCGTGCCTGGGACAGGTAGACAAAAACCCGTGGAGATTAGTATCAATCTCACACGATCAGTTAGAGTGACTATTGGCTACACTCTTTGTTTTTGGCCAAAAAAAAAAAAAAAAAAAAAAAAAATCTAACTGGAGTAGCAGGTTAAAAACAAAACAAAACAAAACAAAACAAAACAAAGCTTTTTTTCCTCCTTTTTCCCGTAGTGAAACTTAGGCTTGTTACTTCTGGTTTGAGGCAGATAGTGAGTTACTTACAACCACGTGATTGCTTTCTGGTTGCATTTATGATTACTAGAATAGAATTACAAATACTCCACTATTACTTCCAGTCCTCAGCCAGATGTGAATCTGCTAAGTTAAACAAAGACTTAAACTTAAGATTCTTAAGAATTGTTTTTTATCCCATTACCTTTTTTTTCCCTTACTGGTATATGAAAAACAAGAAGTGAGTACTGATTAAGTTCTTTAAATCCAAAAATTAGTGAGGGTGGCACCACTTACTTTTGTAATTCCAAGACAAGCGTCCACTGCTACATAGGATAAAGTCCTGGGGTTTAGATTTCAGCTCTCAGAATCACAATCCCTAAAGAGTGTTCACTAGGAAGAAAAAGTAAAGAGTCTGCTCTAGAAACATTGCTCATAAACTCCAAATACTTTTAGTTCTCCTTTTTCACCCCTGAAGAAATATGTCCTCATGGCCCATATTTCATTTCTGACTTGGGTTACCCAAAAAGATCGTTTTGAAAAGTGCTCTACCTTTTCTTTCACATTAATTTTATTAGCTAGTTTAAAAGGATAATTTGCCAAATTAGATGTTTTCACGTGTTCTTTTGTTGAGTAAGTGCAATCGTCTACAAATAAGTTTCCTATTAAAATGTACTCAAAACGCAGCTCAAAACAAAATGACTTTTTAAAATTAAGAGTTGTTATATTTGAAAGAGACTAACGTCGACTTAATGTTGAAAGCACACACAAGAAAGGACAAATTGGTTGAAACTTTCACAAGAATGGAAAATGTTTAATAAACTTGGAGGGGTGGGCTTATTAAACTATAGTGTTATTTACAGCCATAATTCATCAACCACAAACACAATAATGTGTTTGCATGGCATGCTACAACAGAAGCTTTATTCAATTCATTCAGAAAACATTGGCAAAATAAATTGCAGTTGCAAAATTCACAGATACAAGCTTCAAAGTATAAAGTTGTATATAACAAAAAATACAGGTAATATTTATAACAATAACTTACAGATACAAACTAATGGTAAACTACGATTTCACAAAGGATTGTAAACATGTTGCACACTTGTCAGTCCTTTTGTTTTTTAGGCAAAGTGCTCTTTTGATGACAAATAAATTAACAGATACACACTAGAGTGAACTATTTCCAGACAATACAAAAAAAAAAAAAAAAAAAAAAAAAAGTTGATTTGTTTTCTTCTTGTAAACATAAATTTTACAAAAAAATGAAGAATCAATAAAAGTGTCTTGCAGGCCAACAATAGATACATACCTGGGCAGCAAAGTGATGTCGAAAATGCTTTGAGTGTTAAATAAAAAATTAACATTAATATCTTTTCAATGGTATTTTATACATAATAAATGACAAGATTATATCCTTAATCATTTCTATCCCTGAAAAAAGGAATTAGGTATGACTTATTGGCAGTTGTGTCATTGAATGGGGTAACAAGGGCTGGAGTCCAAGAGTTGTTGGTGAATGAGCTATAAAATAGAAAGAAATTCGTGGATCAGTTTTGTAGGGTGAATAGAACTGATTTAAAAACAAACCAAAACAATCCAAGGCAATGCACTTTCATTACTCTTTATAGCTGAGGGCACCAAGCTACACTCATTCCACTAACCTCAGCAGAAGCATTAACTTATTCAGCACAATGAATATAGTATTAAATGAGAATCCAGGAATAGTTTACCCCCAAAACCTCTTTTGGGGCCACAAGCTTTTGACACTTTAATGTCCTCCATCCATACCCCATTCACTGCACTTTACCTTGCAGCTAGAAAACAAACATAAGCTTTGTCTGCAGAGACACTGCTAGCTTCCACATAAAGGTGTCTGTAGGATGACCCCCAATTTCTCATTTATGAATGCTTAACCGCCTATTCTCTAAACATACATCAAAGCACATTTGACTCAGGCAAAACTATAGTCATTCATGTGAACACATACAATTTTAATGCTAGTATAATAGCAACCATGGTACAGACTCTGATTTTTCATTTAACCCAAACTTAAAATGAGGTTTCCATTCTCAGCAAGGGCTATGATGCTTCAAACCAAACCTCCCTCTGAGAACAACTAGGAAAGCTGGACAAAATTTTTACAAATCTCTTGGAACGCATCTGAAAGATACCAAGACAGTGAGAACTTGCAAAGCAAGTCCCAGAAGAGAAGGGAAATGAACCGAGGCTACTACCCTCCATCCCCTCCAAGTTTAATGACAATTTTAAAAGAAATGTCTGAGAGGCTGAGAACTGGAGCAGACTTTCAGGATTTAGACTTTGGCTGGGTGGTGGGGAACAAACACGAAAGATCAGGGACCATTGAAGAGAAGCCTTCATTTAAAACAACAAAAACAAAACACAGGCTCTGTCTGGGATCCTAGAAGGCTAAACACAAATAGTGACCCAGAAATATACCAGCCTTTGTAAGCAGTGATGCCTCATTGGATTAAGTTGATCTTATCCTAGCCTAACTTTCTGCCAGAGGTGAAACCAAATCCTCTCTGGTGGAAGAGATCATCCGGAGTCTCAAATTATTTCTAATTTTTCATACACAATGTCTGAAGTGCAATAAAAAATGAAAAGGCAAATAAGAAGACATGAGTTGACTGAAAACAAAGAGATCCAGATATTGGAGTTATCAGACATAAATTTAGTATAACTATAATTAATATAATAATTTTGTTAAGGAATAAAGTGGCAAAAATAGAGGATTCCAGCATAGAAGTGGAAACTATAAAAGAATGAAATAGAAATTCTAAAACTGAATTTAAGTTAATTTCAATAACTGAAATTAAGAACTCAGTGGGTGAGTTTTACAGCATATTAGATAGAGAATTAGTGAACTGGAGAGAAGTCAGAAGAAAATACCTCAATGCATGGAAGTTCAAAGGGGTGGAAAATATGGGATATTTTCATAAGGGGTAGAAACAATATTTAAAGACACAAAAACAGACTTTTCCTTAATGAAATACATCAAACTACATATTCAAGAAGCATATCTAGGCACATTATAATAAAACTGAAAAACAAATACAAAGAGAAAAGCTGCAGTAAAATGACATTCACTTTCAAAAGAGCAAGAATTAGACCAAGAGCTGATTTCAACAAGTAGCATCAGATTAACTACCCATATTCTAAACAATAGAAACAATGCAAGCCAGAACCCGATGTTACCTTCAAAGTCCTGGGGGGAAAAAAGCTGGCAACCTAGATTTTCACATACAGAGGAAATACCATTAACAACTGCATCAAAGCAAATACTTATGAATGAACCTTAGATGTGCTAAACCCAAAACTCTGGAATAAAAAAAGTACTTAAAGACGGTCTAAATAAATAGACAAAGTTCATAGTATGGAAGGTAATATTATTAAGATGGCAGTTTCTTACAAATTGGTCTAATAGACTATATCAAAATTTCATTTGTTTGTGGGTTTTGTGGTGGAAATTGACAAGCTGGTAAAATTTATGGAAATGCAAAGGGTCAAGAATGAGCAACAGAAACTTGAGTAACAAGAAAGTAGAAAGACTTTTCTACTGGATATAAAGAATTGTAGGCTTTGCATAATTAAAACACTAAGGTATTATTATGAAAATAAACAGACCAACAAAATAGAGTGTACAGAAATTGACACCTACATTATATGAACAGTTGATTTATGAGAAATGTAGCACTATAAAACAGCTGAGACATTGGTATTTTAATCAATATAACAAGAGCTTTGCTTCCTATTTCATACCACATACAAAATTCAATTCCAGATGGGCTGTAAATCTAAAGATCAAAGGGAAGATAGTTTCTAGAAGATAGCGTAAGAGGTACATGTTCATTATCTTTGAGAGAAACAATTACTTGAACAAGTCACAAAAAAAGCACTGCCCGTGAATGGGGGAAAAGAAACACACCTGATGAAATGAACTATATTAAAATTAGTAACTTGTGCTCAACAAAACATACCCTTAAGGGAGTATAAAAAGGCAAGCCACTGAAAAGTAGGCGATGTCTGCAATACATATAATCATCAAAAAACTTTTTTATATGCAGAATACAGGAAGAACGAAGATAAATCAAGGAAAAAAACAACAGACAAACCAACAGACCAACAGACAAAAGATATGAATAAGCTCTTCACAAAAAAAGGATATACACATGTCCAGTGAAAACATGTTCAGTCTCACCAGTCATGAGGAAAAAGCAAATTAAAATAAGGAGATAAGCACTACACAACTATCAAATTGGCTAAAAGTAAGAAGTCACACCATATCAAGTGTTAGCAAGGATGTGGAGCACCTTGAAGTCTCACCCACTGCTGGTCCGAGTGTAAACTGGCTCAACCACTATGGGAAACTGGCAGAATCCGCTGAAGTTGAGTGTATGTATAGCCTGTGACCCTAAGTTTCATTCCCAGGTGCATTCCAAACAGAAGTGTGAATTAATGTGCACCAAAAGGCATGCACAATAAAGTCCACAGCAGCATATTCATAAAAGCCTAAGCACACTCAAGCACAAATGTTTATCAACCATAAAATGGTTAAACTGTGGTATATTCCTACAGTGGAATTCTATAGAACAATAAAACAAATCACTGATCCTTGCAACAATACAGATGAATCTCACGAACAATGTAGTGGAAAGAAGTGAGATACACAAGAATACGTTCCATATGGTGCAGTTTATGTAAAGCTCAAGAACAGGCAAAACTAAAACATGACTTTGGAAGTCAAGGCAATGCTGCTCTGGAAGAAGAGGATAATGATTGAAAGGGTACGTAAGACAGGTTTCTGGGGTGTTAATTATGTCCTACTACTTCATCTAGTCGGTATTTACGTGGATGTGTTCACTGTAATAGTTCACCAAGCTGGATACTTTTTACGTGTACACTATTCTATATGTATGTTTTGCTTCCATATAAAAGTTTCTTTGACAAAACTCCGTAAATTCCAATCTAAAACTCTGAGTGTGAATACTTTCTCTGACCATAGGAAAATAAATTATTTAAATACCAGGTGAAAAGCCAAAAAAAAAAAAAAAAATTTTAACGTCCTAAGTAAAAAATCAAGCACTAATAGTCATTATTAATATTTGTATTTTAGCTGTAAAGTGGGTGTTAAACTTGTCCCTTAAAATGTTGTTATAGAAATAAGAATGTTTGGACAGTTCTGCCCCCTACTGCACTTCCCCACAATATTTTTCATCTACTACTGAGGTAATATTTCAAAATATGAGTCCTATCAACAATCTAATATTAGAAACGATCACTTATTGGTTGCTTGGGAAACAGCTGTTAAAGGTTGGGATACCTACCATCCATGTAACTATGCAGCGCAGTTAGCATCGTCCCATCTTGGGGCACATAGGCAGAATAAGCCATTTCTTCTAACATGGGTGGAGACAGCCGGGAGGGTGGGACTGCTGTGACTGGGGCCGAGGAGGAGTGATTAGGACTGACGTGTTTCTTGTGGCGTGCTCTACAATTCTGAAACCACACCTGAGGGAGGAGAAAAGCAATGTAGGCACGTCACATCTCAGCTTCTGAGTACGTTGTCAACTCAGTTTAAAAAGAAATGCATCCCCTGTCAAACTGTTCACTATTAAGGCTAAAAAAGAAAAAGAAATGTATCCTAAATTTCTCTACCATATAAGCACAATACAAATCGAAATAAGCTTTTGAGGCACCTGGGTGACTCAGTTGGTTGAGAGGCCGACTCTTGATTTCAGCTCAGGTCATGATCTCATGGTGATACTGAGCCTGCATTAATTTGGCTCTGCACTGACAGTGCGGAGCCTGCTTAGGATTCTCTGTTTCGCTCTCTCTCTCTCTGCCCTTACCCCACTTGAGTGCACGAGCATATGCTCTCTCGAAAGAAATAAAAGTTTAAAAAAAAAAATCTAAGTAAGGTTTTTAAACAGTTCTATAGACTGAAGAGAACATTTGCACAAATATCAATGGTCATTTTCTTTGCTCAAATAATAACTATCTGGTGATTTATTTAAAAGCCAATTCTATACTACACTGGCATCTTCGAAAATAAAAACGAAGGGAGGAAGTTCGAGAATTCCAGAAAAGTTTCCTCGTCTTTAACCACTGGCATTTGGGACAAAAAGAAAAACAAACAAAAAAGCCATTTTAATCAGAACTTAAAAAAAAAAAAACCACAACTAAATGTATTCTTAGACACCTGCTGGACTTATTTCAAATCTTTTCCCAAATGACTAAAATCCCTACTGAGAACTTAAAGCTTTCTACAAACCTCTTGATTCAGTTATTCCAATCACATTTTAACCTGCTGAGTTCAATTTTTCTTAGTGAATACATAGACTATTCCCTAAGAAGTATGTTAAGGTCAGGTTTATAATAAGAAAAAATGAGTAATATTTAAGCAAAATAAAATACAAACATATCCATTAGTAAAACAGTTCACAAAATGTAAAGAGCTAATCATGAAAGAGTGGTCCACTCTATCATAGAAATAAAGGAATCAAATTCAGGGCAGGCATCGTTTTGCTTCCAGGTCAGGGTAAGGGAGGCTAGGCTGCCCAGAATACTTCCAGTAATTAATCTGCCTGTGTTCGAACTCCCTATCACTAGATGAAACTAGACTATAGAGTGTTACTCTATTAAAATGTTAAAATATTATAGCACTTATTTGCTGTCACTCCAAACACTTCGTCATGAGGAGAAAGAGAAGTGGAGGAATAAAAACTTTTAGGAAATTAAGACAAAGAACATTTTAGTTTCAGGACAGAGGGCCAGGGAGAGATCAAGGACATAAGCTTCTGACCTGGGCTGGTAGGTGTTTGATGGCACAAGGGAATTGGGGCTGAATAATGTCAAACAGAAGGAATCTGCAAAAAGATTTATATAAAAAAGCTGCCCTGATTTCAAACACACATCCTGTCCTTGGGACTCAAAAATAGAGGGCTTTCAAAGTATAAACTCAAGGGGTTAAAACTAAAGTAATAGTTAATAATGCAGCAGGGTAGGGGCACCTGGGTGGCTCAGTCAGTTAAGCATCCAACTTCAGCTCAGGTCATGATCTCACAGTTCATGGGTTCAAGCCCCACGTTGGGCTCTGTGCTGACAACTCAGAGCCTGGAGCCTGCTTGGGATTCTGTGTCTCCCTCTCTCTCTGCCCCTCCCCCACTTGTGCTCTGTCTCTCAAAAATGAATAAATGTTTAAAAAAAAAATTTTTTTTTTTTTAAATAATGCAATGGGGTATGCATCCCTGGCCAGGTGGCTGAAAGGTACCACCTGAGGAAGTTTTAGGAAAAAGATGTAGGCATATATCAAGAAAAAGTAGTTGGAAGTCACAGCCTTCTCCCCCATTTTCTGGAGTATTAGGCTCTTAGATATGTAAATAGAGACCCAGAGTCTTCACAGTTCCCTCCACAGGTTCCTTAACAGTAAGCGTCATTACTGTCACCCACCCAGTCAAGAAGATACACTCACGCGTTCTCAAACTTGTAAGAGAAAACGGCTGTCACCAGTCTTTTCCCCAACAGTACCCAGAAGACATGTACCCCAGTGGACTACATGCAACCTAATACACATGGTACTATGGTTGCCAGAGTTCTTTCAAAGTATCTTATGTTTCCAATAAATTATGTACTGGATGGAACCTACTCAGTAGTTTAAAAAAAAAATTCCAGATTTTGGAAATAATATGAAAAAGGTATGACATAAACAGCAGAAAAATTACCTTAATACGGATTCAAATAGCTCTTTGGAAAGATCATCAATAGGTAATCAAGCAGAGAGGTTTGTAAACAGAAAATGTCATGGGGGCACCTGGGTGGCTCAGTCGTTTGAGCTGCTGACTTTAGCTCAGGTCATGATCTCATGGTCTGTGGGTTCGAGCCCCTCATCGGGCTCTGAGCTGACATCAGCTCAGAACCCGGAGCCTGTTTTGGATTCTGTGTCTCGCTCTCTGTCTGCCCCTCCCCTGCTTGCTCTCTGTCTTTCTCTCTCTCTCTCAAAAATAATAAACATTAAAAAAAAAATTTTTTTAATGTCATGTAACTTGTACAGAAAAATATAGTTGACAATTCCAGACTTTAGAAAATAACTTCTGACATGAGGGCTACCCAGCTTTAGAATTCAAATACAAGTACTTTTGACCTTCCTCACTGACTCAAAATTTCTTCCTTCTGTTTTGCAAACCTCTAAAAGAGTTAAAAAAACTTTAAAATATTTTGAGTTCCAAATTGTAAACTCTATAAGCTAAGAGTAGGCTATGTAGATATTCTGTGAAAGAAAAGACTAATCCATAAGATGAATCTCTGAGAAAGCCCAAAGAGCCAAACAGAAGACTTATGTGTATGAAAAAAATGGAATTTTAAATTATTGAGAATGAATGGGATAATACTGATTTAGAAAAACCTGGCTAATCATTTGTGAGGAAAAAAATGGTAAACTCCCTACCCTCACTAGTAACCAAAAGTCAATTCCAGGTAAATTAAAAATTAGATGGAAATAACTGGAACCATAAATGTTTAAGAGAAAACAAAAGTTAATATTGATAACTTCTAGGTGAGGAAGTATAAAAAAGGCCAAAGCTATAAGAAAAAAGTATTGAGAGATATTAATACATAAAAATATAAAAGTTCTATGTGGAGAAAATAAATGAAAAAGAAACTATGGAAGTCTAACGTAACAATAAAAATCAGTAAGATGGAAAAGTAACCACGTAATAGAAAAGTGGACTAAAAACATACAATTTCTAAAATTACAAAATAAACAAACATGTTAAAGTTATTGATAATAAAAGAAGCATAAACAAAAACAATGAGATTTTCTGCCAAAATTAGAAAGAATGTAAAAGAATGACAGTATTCAGGATTTGTAGGAGTTAGTGAAAGGGAACTTGCATATGTAGCTCCCGGCAGAATAAACTGGTATGAACTTTCTGGAAGCTGATTTTTGTACTATTAGTTAATTATTTAAAGGCCTTAAAATGTTTTAGCTTTTGACTCAACAACCACCCTTCTAGAAATTTATCCTATGGAAACTATTGAACCAGTGAGCAAGGTGTATATAGAGTGTTGTTCATTTCAGCATTTTTTTATGATAATGAAAAATTGGAAAGAAACTAAATTGTTTAATGCTTAAGATGTGCAACAATAAAAATCATGTAAATTTCAATATGGATATGTACTCCCAAGACACTAACTGGAAGAAATAGCATTGCTTTATCCTGTTTCCATAAGATGAACAATTCATAATTCACCTATTGGAAAGGGTATGTGAACGGTGATTGTATCTGAATGCAGTGTTAAAAGTAAAATCATCTATATTTTGTGATTTCAGTACAACAAAGATCTGCTGTTACTAATATCTCGCTAAGCAGACTTTAGTTGGTAAAGGTGAGACTGTCTCTGTGTATCAGACCACTGTTTTTACCTAATCGTTGGATAACCTAGTTTGCACATTAAAATCAAGACCTAGTAATCAAAACTCTAATTTTTCTAAAATGTGCACAATCCCAGGAAGTAGACTGGACATAGAGACTATGACTACTATCTGAGATAACAGAAATTGACTCTTCAAAATTACCACGAAGGACGATATGTATATATACAAATAATATATATATCTGCATGCTCCTTCCTTTGCCATCCTATCAAAAATATTTAAATCCAATCCTCACATATTAGAAGCCACCATCGAACAATATATTCTCCAGGTTCTAGTACTTGGATCCAAGATAACTTGCACATAATACTGGTGACCTAAATACTTAGAAATCACATGACATTGTCTGGGGTCATTATTTATTGAAATAATAAGAAACCTTCTCAGAAAATCTTTCATTTTCCTTTGCTTCCAAATTCAAAATAATCTAAAACATAATAATCATGAATTGACTCAGCTGGAGCAATCATGGTCATTGAACGTATAGACTCTCAGATTAGAAGAACCTTCAACCCGTTCAGTCTGTACTACCTCAACAAAGGAAGCTCCATGTTCAGGCACAGGAAACTCACTATCTCCAATGGCAGCCCACTCATTTTCACAGACTTTCATGCTGAAAAAGTTCTTCATTATGAGTAAACTCAGCTTTTTCCTATATTCCTTTGCAAAGACCTGATTTTGCTAGTCTGCAGGACAGCCTTCCACATATACTTAAAGTTACTTAGTCTTTTTATCCTATTCCTTCCCTTAGCATCTCATCTCCAGATAAGTATTCTTGTTACTGTTAATATTAGCACATGATTTCTAGTTCTGTCATGACCTTGTTAGCCTGCCTCTAAAGGAAGCAGTCTGTTCAGATTGGTTCCTTGTTAGACCCCTTTTTAAAATCTGGCACTCTGAAATAAACACAATACCCTGGATATCTGAAAAGCATTGAGGTTGTGTGGCTCACTTCCTCAGAGAACCTCATTAGAGTCCTGTCGGCCAAATCCACTGAGAATCTAAGTCTTTAGAGAAGCTGTAGTACCATCAGGTCTTTCCCCATCAGATACTCTATATAGATGATTTATTAATTATGAAACAGCTCAGCCTTAACAAGAATAAACTGAAAAATAAGCACCTATTTATCAACCACTCAACTGAGGAAATGAAACACATGTATAATGTTGGACTTTACCTCCCCCTGCTCCCTGCAACTGAATTTCATCTTGCTAGTTATGGTTACTTGCATTAATTCCTTAAACTTTTTGAATCTTTAGTGTTACTTAAAATTATTTTCCACTTCCCTGATTTCTCTATAAGATCTTGACACAGTTGATCACCTCCACCTTGAACACATTCCTCTGGCTTCCATGATGCCTCCATACTAGACTCATTCCTTGATCCCAGCTGTCACTGCATCCCTTTCAAATAGTATCTCTTACCCTGCTCTCTCCCTAAAGTCCATTCTTCTCTTTTTACTGTTTATGATCTTGTTCTAAAGGATTTTACCCAATTTCATGGCATTGGATCTTTTTGCTTAGTCCTGCTCATCTTTTAAAATACTTGTTTAAATCCCCAAATTCCACAATCACTGCATGACTAGCACAGCTAGTGTCCCATTAGAGTGTCCAGGTCCTTTTCTTGTCTTTCTCCCATCTGTGCAATCAATAAAATGTTTCTCAGTGAACTCTAGGTCACTACCTCATTTAAACCTATCTTCAAAAAACGACTACTTTGCTGGGTATCCCAACTAATCATATATCTCTAGCTTCTTTCTACCCTAATTCTTCCCATGTACTGCCACTAGCCCTTTCTTCCTGAATTCACATACCATGGCTTTCTCCTGCTCAGGAGAGAACTCTATACTTGCAGGTCCCTCCCAAGTTCAGTTCCAGCACTTTCAGCTCTCACAATTTGCAAATATAAATCTTACGTTTCAATGAATTCACTCTAATTTATCCTTCCCTGACTTTATTCATACCACTATCTCTACCTGGATCTTTAACAAAGGCCATCAACCTCACCCCAAGACACACACACTCACTTATACAATCACAGAAAAGTTGGAAAAAAAATTACTGGCTTCAGAACCAGATCTAGCTTGGAACCATATTTGCCTTTTTCAGCTTGAGGATCTTAGGGTTGCTGTGAGCACGGAATGAAGTAACTTATGCACAAAGTCATTAACAATCGGTAGCCTAGCCCTTGCAAGCCAATTATCAGAGTTAAAAAGCTGAAGTAGAGTGTAAAGAGACCTAAAATAGAAAGCAAATGTTTTTTGCCATTTCTTCACACACAAAAAACTAATGCACACTCATAAAGGCCTAGAATAGAACTTTTAGTATCTCTTGATTAACCTTAAAAATAATCACCTGTATCACACGTCTGCTCAAGCCTGTCCTTTCTGCCAGTTTCTGGAGAGTCTGTGCATCTGGGTTGTTGTCCTGAGCAAATTGTGCTTGCATTACCTGTTTTTTTTAAAAAAAGTATAGGTAGTAAATAGCTATATATAAGAAGCTCAATCTTCTGCATTTTGATGACAGGAGAGATAAGACATGAACAAGAAGATAGGATACTTGTATTTTATTACTTGAAAATCAGTATGGGGAAATATGCATAAATGAAAAGAAAGCACATCTTGTAAATTTACAAACAAGTTGCTATGTTGAGACCTTTTAAAAAATAATCCATTTCAGCATAAAACTTCTCTCTCAACTATGCTGTTAAAAATGAGCTCCCCTTTGCTCTTCTTCCATTCTTACAACATACAAATGAAATGAATAAATGGTATAAGCCTGTTTACTATTTTTTTCCATTTTGTTAAAAATTTCTTGCATTAGAAAACTTGTAAAGATACAAAAATACTATCACATTTATCTCCAACTGCTACTGAGCTAAACAGGCCCATACTATAACTTTCATCAGTCAGCAAATAGCATACAGTGCAAAAGATAGATACCATTTAATTGCAATTAGTACATTAATTGTTTTGAACACTTGTTCTATGTAAAACAATATCTGGGATCTGACACCCATCTGACACCCATAAGAACTTCCTGGGATCTAACCATCTGTATATTGAAAAAGCTCCCAGGTGATTCAATATGAACTTTTGGATTAGAACCACGGTGCCAAGGGTCATGAGACAGTGATATATGAAAAAATTGTCCCTGGCCTCAACTTTTTGAGACAAAGATATGGACATGTCAATAACTACCAAGAATACAAAGTAAAAGGAGAAACATGGAGAGGGAATATCAGAGTAAAGCACAAGTCAAGGGCTTTGTATTCTTTCTGAAGAGGGAATCAAGAGGGATATTTGAATTTTATAACTTAAAAGCCAATCAACTTAGGGAACTAGTATAAAATATGGAAGAGGGGAGTCTGTCATCCAACATGATTATGCATGTCCATAGGTATGGGATGGGGGTAACCAACCTATCTAAAGACCTTAAGTACCAGTGGCCTCAGCATCATTTCCAATAGGCAAAATTAATTGCACGCTCCACTATGCTCCTCATATAATACAGTCTTCTGCCACTACACATGTCACAAGGTAGCTAAATAACTCAGTGGCAAGTATAGCTCTCAATAGCAGAAAGTAAGCATCTTGAGGGCAAAGGAAATGTCTTAGTCTTCATTTCCCCAGGAGCTAATACCCCTTCCCATCACATAGTACATGCTTAAGTGTTTGTAACAGAATGAACCCTGACAACGTGAGAAAAATCTGAAGATAGTGTAGGGAAAAAGACCAATGTTGTTCCAGGAAACCTTATGAGGTTTGCAATTTTTTTAAATTAAGTTCCGAAAAGTGACTCTTCTAGAATAAGGTATTCCTGACTTCCTCTCCAACCATATTTGTTCACACACTCTCTGTAAACAGCACATGTATTTTTACTTTTAAAAATGGGCAGAAATGGCCTAAAAGTTTATAATCTCATTCAGTTCACCTCATTCTCCCTTTCTTATTCAAAATGTGTTGTTTCAACACTGTCATGTACAAATAGTTGTGTTTACATGTAGTTGAGCATGTAACATCTCAAACAGAAAAAAGAATGAGCAAGTTAACTGTCTTTATATTTTAATTTTTCAAGAAGAAAAGCTAAACAGATATTTAAGGATTTGCTTGTTAGACCATTATTGATAATTTATAAAAACAAAAGACAGCATGCTTTTCACAAATGCATTTCAAATTCACAAGTTTAATAATGGAACCAAGTTACATTTAATAAAGCAATTTCTCATCAAGGAATAAAGCAAAAACTTAAATGAATACTGATGGTTTAAAATTGGTATATACTAAAGGGAAAGTAATACATGCTTATCAATGTTTAATCTCACAAAATAAACGTTTTCATTTCTACTTAATTTCATTGTTCTCCAGTCACTAATGATGTTGAAACCCACCCCACTCCTTTTCTGCGCTCTTTTTAATGTGGTCAAGGAGTGAACCTTTGTAGACACTCATCATTTTAAGGCCAGGAAATCTCAGAGATGACAGGCATCTGCATAGTAGCAACTGACCAACTCAATCTGAAAGTAGATTAAAATAGTTGCTAACTTTGGAATGTTTAATATTAATAATCACGGAGCAAGTGCTTCCAACTACAATAAGCAAACCATAATATTGGCAGGAACTTCTTAAATACCATTTCTACACATGGGGCAATATTTGAAATATTCTTGCCAACACAAAATATTGTTCTGTTTTGTGAATCTTAAAATCTTTTCTTCCCATAAATTTCTAAATAATTTTGGGAAATCATCTTGTTTATTCTTCTCATGTTAACTCTCCTCTGTCCAAAGCAGTGCTTCATTAATAGTCTTGACTTACTGATCATTTATAGTATTTTATTATTTTGCTGAATTCAAGCACTACTAGAATATATTCAGCTTTCTGAAAAGACAATTTGACATAAAGGGTACACTGCCTGATGTATCAGCGGTTCTGGCAAAATATAGTGATTTAAGTGTTTAAAAATTTACAGCTACAGGGCGCGTAGGTGGCTCAGTCTATTAAGCGCCTGACTCTTGATTTCAGCTCAGGTCATGATCTCATGGTTCCTGAGACGATGCCCTGCATTGGGCTCTCACTGACAGTGCTGTCTGTTTGGGATTCTTTCTCTCCTCTCTCTCTGCCCCTCCCCCTGCCCACAGGCATGCACTCTCTCTAAAAATAAACAAACACTTAAAAAAAAAACTTTACAAAAAAAAAAACAAAAAAACAAAACTTTACAGCTATGTATCCCAGATTCCCAAGATATAAAAAATCACTTGAGGACAAAGATTGTATCTCATTTGTTTCAGCCATTCATGGCATAGAATAGATTCTAATAAATACTGAAAAAAATATGAGTATATGCTTTGAAAGCATGTCATTTCTATTTTCATTTTTTAAAACCTATGATTCCCAAATACATCTTTAAAAACTCATGAGTCAGATCACATTTTCATATAAAAATGCATGTGATGATACAAATAGCTCATGCATGTGTGCAATTTAAAACTATGAGGCTAATATACAAGATTCAGACTCTAACTCTTGTTTTAGCTGCTGCTGCTATTAAGTGGAACTTTTATTCCACTCATGGTCTGGAGGCCAAGCAAAAGACCAGAGGACCGGGGAAGTTTGCAAATCTCTTCTCTGCCATTCCATTGGTAGTCTGATTTGAGGGGGGTTCCTACACCTCTTGGAAGAGGCTACCTACATCAAAGAATTATTGTTAAGAATTAAAGGAGACAGTGTAAATAAATGCCTAGTGTAGGAATCGACACACAAAGACCTTCACAAATATTCCCTCTTTAATCAGTACCTATGATTATCTTCCTGTATGAAATGGTATATCTATCTAAAGTTGTTTCAAATTTTCACAATTTTAATAACTTTAATTTCATATAAAATTTTACTGTCAGACTTATAATTATTAAAATTATAGCCAGACCTTCATGGAAACAGCCCATTTTAAAAACAGAATATATTTATAGAAATTCTATTTTAACTCAGACATTTTGTAGCTACTGGATACTTTGCTTCCAGGTCTCTCACAGGTACTCATATCTCCTAATTTAGGGTTTTATGTAATCCAAGTTCCCTTGGAATATTTGTATCACGTCAAGGTTTCTTTCTTAATCTTTCTCCAAATAAAAAAATTTCTCCTGAAACCCTTTTACTATATTCGTCTTAAATACTGGCAAGTCTTAGAATACTATTTGTGATTTTCAGAATATTACTTTTACTCAGTTGTTAACGTTGTATAACTAACCTTTAAAGTTTGAGCTAAGGCCGATACTATGTGTAAAGCACCCAGCAGTACAAGGTAGGCGCTCAATAAATGTTACTTTACCTTAACATAAAACAAATACCTCATCCACATTAATCTTTTAGAAAATGTGATTTCTTTATCTGAAAAAATGCCAGAATCATTATATGTGTAGACTTAATTATAAGTAATTATTTAATTATTATCTTGACAAGTGACATGGATTGAATTTATAACAATTATATTTAGGACAACCAAACAGAAAATAATCCATCCTTTTTCAGGAGACATAATCAACCATTAGCATCATATAGAATTACCTCCCTTTATCCCTCTTAAAAAGAAGAAAATGTTTACTTGATTGGAGTCAATAACTAGATTCCTGTTGTTTATGGTAAGGCATATTCAATTCTTTCCTATTCAGAAAATGTACAATCTTAGCCATTAAAAGGCTCATCGCAATTTCTTAAAAAGGCAGCACATTAGTGTCCCACAGACCCACACACTGTATGTCTCTTTCTGTTAATAGTCTTAAACTATTTTGTCTTCTATCACAATTATAGGTAGTAATGTAAATAAATGCCTGAGTTACATTGATTTTTTTCAGGACAGATCAACATTTTGTTTGCACTTTAACATTAATACCAATAGAACCCAGGAAAATAAAGCTTGAATGACTAATACCAGATCATGACTCTGAGAATACTGATAAACACTTCAGGGAAATAAGTATGTTTTCATACATTCATCAAGTTAGCTTTCTTTAAAAGCACAGGCCACCTTTTTTGAAAACATGAAAATGTTTTTAGGCAGCACGCAGATTGTTTTTGGGTTTGTTTGGTTTTTTTTTTTTTTTTTTTTTTTTTTTTTTTTTTTTTTTTTTTGGAGGGAGGAGGGATTGGGTTTTCTTTGTGTGTGTTTTTTATTTTCATCAGGAGTGAATTCAAAAATCATGAATTCATTGTCATGTCTACCTGGAGCTGATCTGCTGTAAAGCTGGTCCGAGCTCTTTTTGCTGGTTTTGGATGATTAACATCTTGCTCTGTGAGGAGGGCACCTTCAACACTAATCCCATTACCTGCATTTAAAAACAACAGCATATATACTGGTAACTCAAATGGCTCTACTGATCAAGCAGTAATATATTTCTTGCATCTCTTGGTTCAGTGCAAAATTGGAAATTGTCCAAATCTGGGAGTTAAGTTTTAAAACACACTACAAATATTCTGTGGAAACAACACTCCACTTATAGGCTTGTATATTTTAGTCAAAAGTACAAAAATTAGAAGAGCACATATCTAAGATTCATCCTTAGGAGACAAACACAGGAAAACTGGTTACGAAAAGCCAAACAGACCCTAAATTCAAGGCTGCTGCCTGAAAATATGGTAAAAGGCTAATACGCATGCCATGGCATTCCCTGTAAATAAACAGATGGAGATCATCACTAACAGTATATGCTTAATGACTTTTACCACAATTACACTGCACAAAATAATGCATTAAAATGACCTTAGGAAAAATCTTTTTTATTCCCTGTATTCACCGTCCCCAAAGACTCTAAAGTATTTTAAGTATATATTTACCATTTTCCACTTCTCTTTTCAAATTATCCAGCATACAGTCATAATGCACTCTGCAGAGGACTTTCTCTTCCACCAAAGCAAACTCCTCTCCCGTGGAAAGCTGCCTTTTGCAAGAAAAGCAGGCAAAGCATGCCAAGTGATAGACATTCCCCTTGGCCCTCCGGACCCAGTCAGTAGAATGGATGTGCCTCCCACAACGAGAGCAGCGAGTTCCATACCTTCTACATAAATAGAAGAGCAGGAGGTAAAGATTTTAATGTTTGATGAGATACTTATAAGCCTAAGAGTAAACTAACACATTATAATACTCACTAGATTAACCTAAGTGTTTAAATCTTTTGAACGTGAAACAGGAATCAATTACTTTTCTAGAAGTCAATATGGTAAGCAATCAAGACTTGACATAACAGTCATAATTCAAACCTGTTTATAAAACAAAAACTCCTCATTGTTACGTTAAAGGAAGACTGGATTTTTCCTTTTAAAATAAATGCAGTATGAGTTTCAATATCCCTTTTGTAACAAATATAAATAAGTTTATATTTTATAAATTACCTAGAAACTCAAGATACAAACATACATACATTGCAGACTGAAACCTAAAAGTGTAAAAGCATACCACTGACGATAAATGACTTCTTAAAACCAAATTGAGATAATTTAAAAATGCTTTCAATATCATTTTTTTAAATTAAAATATTTAAACATTTAAAACTGATAGTATCAAAAAATGGGTAGAACAGAAGACTTTCACCCTGAGGGTGAGGAAGGAAAACTCAGGTATGTTTCCAATGGTGAATAAGCTATCATATCACTAGCCACAGGAGGGGGAGAAATACATATCCACATCAAACTAGATGGGTGTCTGTTTCTATTCATTAATATATTGTTAGAGGGACTGCCCATTTTTTTAAGTCAATCTGAAGAACTGAATCCTAAAACTAAATTTCAAAATATGATAAAATATGAAGTATAAAAAAATCCTGAAGAACTAGATTTTCAATAGGTCTCTGAAACCAAACCTTTCAAAAAGCTTTAAATTATGTTTAAAAAAATTAAAGAGTTTCATATTTTAAGTCAAAGAGGAGACAAATTGCTACTATTTTTGAGGAAATGGAGAGTAAACCTGATGAGAAATGTTTCTAGTAATTATAAAATTCTGTGACTTTTTAAAATAAAGGACTCTACGTTTTATGAATTGCTTTAAATTAGCAATTTTATTCAAATCAATCACTAAACTCTCTGAAACCAGTTTCTGAAGCTGAGAATAAACAACATAATTGGTATTACAAACTTAATTATATAGTATCAATTTCACAATAAACATTATTCTTCATTTGGAAATGCAAATAAAGAAAAAATATAGCAATTTTAAAAAATCATGCTTAGGGATAATTTCAATTTCTAGATAGCTATCCATTAAAAACTGAATTATATCCTAGAAGAAACTGTACACTTAAGAAATGTTTAGAGAGTTCATAGAGAAAATGTTAATATCTTAGACCAATACAATCTCACAAAACAAAAATCAAAGAAGAGACAAAAAGAAATCAGATATTCACACAGAATAATCAAACTTGGTGTATTTGATATTGGAATGGTTGGTTCCTCTAAATTATATGATTTATCATAGTCTCCAAACTGCTGACATTTTGTAGGGTATAGCTAGGGATTATTCTATAGTAAATTGATAAACACTTAACAAAATCTTGATTCCCCCCACCCCATAATTATTTCATTTTATCTTATCATGCCCTGCAAACAAGGGTCTCTGTCACAATAAATCATCTTATATTTTACATTTTACCTATGCACAGCAAGAAGAAGTCCCCCCCCCTTTTTTTTTTTAAATATCTCAAACTTTCATTCCTCCAAGTGGGAATAATTATTTTAAATTAGTGTTTGTATGTTGAATTCTTAAAACACATAAACATGCTTATTTTACTTGTTTTAGTAGAAGCTATACCTTAAAAATGTGAAGCATTCTCATTCTGAAATCCATTGTACAAGAAAACGACGGGTTTTTAATATGTAAAACCAGACCAGAAAGCTTATTTACAAAATTTTCTTTGCAAAATAATTTCTTGGAGTGTCTACTAAAAATATTCCATAGTGTACCTGAAATAATCAAGTTTGCAGAAAATGTCTTTGTCTTTAATATAACAGCTGGTATGCCTTCCTAAGGAGGTCCTGCAGACACTGCAGGAGAGACACCGAACATGCCAGCACAGGTCATTCACCTGTAAAGGGAAATAAGAAACCATTTTAATATCATATTTACAGAGTATCATTCCACCGGTTTTGCACACTGAGAAATTTTAAAACCCAGGTCCTTAATATTTTAATATATGCTCTGAATGTTTCTATCTAAATGGTGTCATTTACACAAATATCGGTCTAGATATATTCTTTTAGACACCACAAAAGATCACAACTGTATATTTTCTATTTTGTGTTTATTTTTTTATTTGCAGAAATCAGAGTGTGTGCTTTTTTTTTTTCTTTTTGAAATCAAACTTCTATGAACACGGAAAATTTTTGTCATTCTGAAATCCTACATACAGGCTTATTTTATTTTTTTCTTTTACCAAGGTCTTCCTGCCGTGAAACCTGGTGGCTGAAGAAGTCAAGCCACACACCTTCTCAATCTACTTTCTGGCCAATTATAAATGGTGTACTAAAGTGAGAGAGAAAGACGGTGAAAAAGAAGCCTTGTAAGATACTTACCCTTATAAAGAAGGCAGGCAATCCATTTCCCTTACCAAACAGAAATGGCTAAGGTAGATTTAAATGTTGATATGGCAGAAGTCCCGGCTACTTTCTAACATTAAATAATAGAATCAAGGAGTAAAGTATTGGTAACCCTACCTAATGATTTGATTACTGGAGAAAAAATTAATCTGATTATAAGTGGTTCTAAGAAGGCACCCAGGCACTGTTTGCCATTTGTATTTCAAGTAGTAAGGCATAAAATAGGGTTTAATAAATCACACCACCTTATATTTTTTAAATAGGCACGTGAAATATTATCAATTCAGAGAACAAATCATAACCCTCACCTTAAACTGTTGCTATCATACTATAAGCACTACAACTTGAGCTTTCAAGAATGAAGATGTGTACAGGATTGAACCTGCCTGTATGTAACACACGCTCCCAAAGTTTGCTCTTGTTAAATGGACACAAGAACTGAGTTTATGCTTCACTAATTAAGCATAATTTCATTTCATATGAAAGAACTGCAATGATGCAAAAACACAGTTACACCCTACAAGTGGATCTAATGTTTCAAATATTTAGGAAATTGTGAAAATGGGAAATTGTGAAATGGTGTTTATCATGAAATACTGTAGCAAAAGCCCTATTTGTCCAATGATTTGTCCAAGATTAGTACTACTCTTCAAAATGTTTTTCTGTGATACAAAACATAAAAGGTACTTTAAAGCTGAAGGAAAAAGTTTCACTTACTTCTAATTACAGTTATGGGCCTCCTTCCAAAGCATTAATGAGAATATCATTTTGGTAAAATTTTTTAAATTTTAAGTTTGGGTCTTGAACTACAATGTTTACTACACGAGAAAACTTGGAAAATAGAAGAAAGAAAAGAAAGAAAGAAAGAAAGAAAGAAAGAAAGAAAGAAAGAAAGAAAGAAAGAAAGAGAAAGAAAGAAAGAAAATGAATTTGAGGAAGTCAGAATAAAAAGTACTAACAATGGTTAATATTGTCCTAGAAATAAGTGTGTATTTTCCTTCTATTTTTTCCTAACATAGTCCAATTAAAGTTTAAAAATATAAGCTTCCTTTAGTATTCAATGCTTAGGGACTTCTACATTTTAATCTTATCCAGGATCTTTTTTTTTCTTCTCCTCAAGCAAGTGTAGATTCAGGCTTCAGGGCAGTCATGGCCACCCTCTAACTTCCTAAAGCCAAACCTAATGCTTGGTTTGCTACCTTTCCTTAAAGTTTACTTAAAAAAAACAAAACAAAACAAAACAAACAAACAAACAAACCTCCTCATCTTCCATTACTTTCCAGAAAGGAAAGTAAGGTAAAGAGAAAATTCTGAAGAACATAGACCTTTCCTGATGGCTGGTATTGATCCAATATATAAATGTATATAAGACCAAGCCAGAAAGTCTACCCAAACGACAGGGCAACTGAAATATTAGATGAAGCCAAAGACCCATCTAATTCCTCTCCTACATTTTTGTCTGAACTCCATTTTACTTGCCTCACGAGGTGATGTTTTTCTATATTAAATGGTTTTTATTATAGATGGTTGTACCCTCAAATACTCTACTAGGTCTAGATCCAACAATTTTCACCAGTGACTCAAATTGAATTTAAACTTCTCTTTTAGAATAAGTATACAAATTAAAAAAAAAACATTTTTATATAATCATACAGTGTCAAACTTTAGTTAGAGCTAATATACTAATATGTACAAAAGGGACAGAATAAGGGTGTGCATAGAAGACCTCACTGGATTACATTCCTACAAAGAAAAGCTTTATGTAACTCATTTAGGTAACTTAGATATTTTACATCATACAAGTAAATAATATGAGGTACAAGTAAATTTTTAACATATAAAAGTGAACACTAGAAATAACTTATGTATTTCAGAAGTGTATTAAGAGTCACTTTATAATACCCTTTTTTTCTAGATTCTCTCTGGAGGAGCTAGAAAAGCCTTTATAGCCTTTAAGAATGTTCAGAAACATTCTCAAAGATTATGCTAATTATGAAGAGGTTTCATTGACAATAAACTAATTTTGATCCAAAAAATGACTTTGAGATCTTAGGTCTAGAAACAGTGAAAGGCTCAGGTCTAGAAACAGTGAAAAGGGTATCCTAGGAATGCAGATTTAAAGAGAAAGCCATGCTAATTTGTCAACTTTAAGAAGCAATCACCAATTAAGATTTAGTTACTTTTAATTTTTTCACCAAAACTTCTTTTGATGCTTTATCTGGGTTTATCTATAGGGTTTTATTCCCACTTTACAGATTAAGCAGCTTTATACACTGAGGTAGAAATTTAAAGGAGCCCAATAACTAGCTTTTTGAACTCGTACTCTCTATAATTAATCCTTTTGAAAAAATGGGGATGTTGGGTGTGGACAGATTGGTGAGGAGGGAATAGAAAGTGAATTGGCTTGCTACTAATTTAGTGTAGGAGAGATCATTATTTTAAATAGTAGTCTTAAAAAGCTATTGAAGTTGAAAACCCATGGTATTAGGAGTAAGACACATGGGACCATGATCCTTCATTCAATGGCATGGGTAACTGTGGCCTACCAGAATTTTGACTCCAAAACTCCCGCACAATATTTTAAGAAGTGAAACCAATTAAGACAGTCTCCTCTCCAACTACCACATGAAGCACTTCATCCCAGGCATCCATAGATCCTTCTCTTCTTTCTTTTTGCTTTCCTTTCTGTTTTCTTTCATTCCTGCCTTCCCTCCCTCCCTCCTTCTCTCTCTTTTGGTCTAACTTTATATCAATTTCTATTTTTTTCCCCACAAGCACTGGAGGTGACATGAAAAAAAGCATTGGGTGGCCTCCAAGTATTATAACAAGAGGCTCTTAATAAGAGCCTGAAAACGGTTTTTATTTAAATGTTCCTACAAATTTTTTCTTTGAAAAAGGCGGAAGTAACTTACTAAAAATAAGACTATGTAAAAAATCTGTCCAGAAAAGGCCCTTTAAAGCGCTTTGCAGTGGTCCTCACCAAAGGAGACATTGCAAAGGGGAATCAGCCAACATATACTGACCAGGAGCTCTTAGAAGCAGGCAGGTGTGTGGGTGTTATCGGGGGTGGAGGGACCATAACCTGGACTCTGTTTCCAAATAAGTAAAAAGATTAGCCCACTTTTGCTTTTCTAGAAGTAGGTGGCTGACTCCATTACGTCCACCCGGGGTATCGGCACTTGTAGACCACGACGTGTCATCAACAAGCTGTATTACAACATGGGAGATTCTAAGATTTCTTCTCCCTGGACCGGGCTGTTCTGCTGAGAAAGCCTACAACCTGCAGAGACAACTTGAAAGGAAAAGAAGGAAAAACTTTTCTCTTTTCCTAGAGTAACCCCGCTCCCCTTGGGCCTCGCGGCTCCACCCTACCTTGAGAAGGTACTTGTCCACGATCTCCAGGCCGCAGCTGTTGCACACACACTTGCCAGGGGGGCAGACGGAGCCCGAGGCCATGGACCGGGGCGAGGACGACGGGGACAGCGGGGCCGAGGAGGAGCACGAGTCCTCGTCCCCCGCTCCCTGGGGGCTCACCTGAAGGAAGCCGTGAGGCGCAGTCGCAGGCGGTTGTAGACCCCTCCTCCTCTCCTCATCCCACCGACCCACCGGGATCCCCTCCTTCCCCTCCTTTTCCTCAGGCCACCCCCATTTCTTGAGGTCTCCCTTCTCGTTCTCACTCCTCCTC